TTTACATTCACCCACAAACTACACATGATTAAAGTTAAATGGAGAGAAATTATTCAATTATTCCTCCACAAAAAGGGGGAAGGGTCTACAGTATCACAACCCAAGTATCCTTGCCTTCAGCACTTCGAGAGAGAACCTTCCAGTGCATGTGCATTGATGTAAATCACACACTTGTACTCAAGGTAGTGTTTTTATTCATAACCCCCCACCTCCTGCTGTCGATGTTTCACATCAAAAAATGATTGGAATGTAAATGACTCATTATCTCAGATGGAGTGCAAAGGCTGAGAAAGTTTTCAAATGGAAACTTCTCAGAAAACACGCACTCTTTTTTAACCCTGATGGTGACAGACTGTAGAGCTATCAGTAATTATCTGTCTATGTATGGCGTGTGAAGACATAGACACACACACACACACACACACACAGAATAATTTTCAGACTTAAGAGTTCTAGAACAGTTAATTGTCTGTCAATCATTTGTCTGTCAGCACAGATGACACTGAAACACAAAACCACACAGCTACAGTAAATCTAATTGGTTTGATGTTACTGTCTAAAGTGTAGCTCAAGTACAAACATCACAGCAATGCTTCAAAATGATCCACTTACCATTGAATCATTTATCAATATGTGCTTTTTCTGACCATATGTTTGTCATACATCCATCCCACAACTGAAGGTTGCATTCACGCTTGAATAAATGGGCTTCCAGTCAGCCACAAATCCTCATCACCGGACACTTGTCCTTGCCAGCTTTTACTTTTATAAGCACAAGGCCCCCTCCAGTACTGTATAAAAAGCAATAAATAAAGTTATGACTTTTAAAGTTTTCTAAATTAAAATCTGTTTTAACATTTTTTTATCTTTTGTCATGACTCATCTGAAATAATAAGGCCCCACAAGTATGTCAAGTCAATTTTATAAAACCTGTACAGTGGCACACGGCAAAGGCCAAAGGAGATGGAGACTAGCTAATTGATTACATTTCACGTCGACTTCAGAATTTAGGTTGCCCTATGAGGTTTTCTTAAACAAACCAAAGTTATGTTTACCTTCCGTGTCTGTCATGCACAGCGAGAGAAACACACAAGGTTTAACAGACACGCTTAATGTATTTCCTCTAAAAATACCAGACATTTTTAAAGTTTTTACCCAATGCAGTTTGTATTGATTTTCATGAAACCAAATTTTCCCCCATTTCTCTTGTCCCTACTGTGTCCCTGTTTGTTAAGCGTGTTAAGGCTGCTGTCTTTGAATTTGCACCAATACTTTTTAGGTTTTGTAGCCTTACTGTTCACGCTGTCCGCTAATCAAATACTCGTGAGTGTGCTTCCCCTTTCATTTCAAGGTTGCTGTTCTTTACACAAATCATTTAGACTCAAAAATGTACATAAACAAGGTCAGATTTATTCAAAAGTTTCTTCATTGTAAAAGTCAATTCACACTGAACATGTTTTAGATGCAATTTTTCATGTGTTTTACACGTCTGACAGATACAGTTGCTTTTGGTGCCTGTTTTAATTTTAGTCTAGTCTTTGTGTGAAGCTGTCATTTTAGTTTTTATTAGTTTTAGTCACGTTCATACTCTTTCAGTCAATGAAAATTGTATTTTAGTCTCTTTTTAGTAATAGAATTCTATTTAACCCAGTCAATATAGTATAAGTACCTAGTAGTATAGACGAAACCAAAAGTTTCTTTTAGCCAAACCCATTTCAAACAAGGTTATCTTATTATATTATTGTTACCTTATAGACTCAATACATCCAATACACATTATATGGGATTTTGTGGCCACATTTCTCCCCATCTTTTTCCACAACACATTGTTTTCTTTTCCACTTCTATGTAATGAAAGTTTTTCCAAATGTCGTTTCTTCTTTTTCTCCCAATGACGAACCCCAGCTGACCAGCCATCAGTCCCTTTCTTTGTGTCAGACTTAACTTTGTTTGTTGTCGTCTTCTAAATAATGCCACGGGTGGGGTTTAAGGAAGGGACGTCGCCTGCGTCTGCGCGACACAGGAAACAGAAATACTGCAAAATAATAATAATAATAACATGACTAAACAAGACGAAATAACGTTATAACATTTCGTTTCGTCTCATTTTGGCCAACGAAAATGAAAACATTTTAGCATTGTAAACCACATTTAGTCTCGTTTTTTCATTAACAGTATTGCATAATACATTTAATTATAGTCATCGTCACACGACCAGCATTTTCGTTGCGTCTCGTTTTCGTCACATGATAAAAGTTCGTTGACGATGCTATTTAGTCATAATTTTCGTTGACGAAAGCAACAATACTGACAGCTCCATTCTGTCAAAAGTCTCAATCAGCACCAACGCATCCCTGGACCTACTGTGCATTTTTATGCTTCAGGTCTTTTTCCTCTGGCACATTTAGTGAAGCATAATCTCCACATACAACTGTTTAAATAATAGTTTTTATCAAGACATTGTGGTTTGTGGGAAGGGGGAGCAAAATGAATGCATAATATTCACAATATTCATTTTCTTCAGTCCTCTAAAGAAACAGACGTGTGCTGCCTTTTCAGCACCCACTGAATTGTCTATAAGCTTTTAACCCATATGCATTTCCACAGATTCATATTCGTTACCCTCATGTATTTACTCTAACAAATTTTGTTGTATAAAGAGTAAAAATGCAACAGCTTTAATAGAAAGTTCAAACAAACAAAAAATGATTACACATTTCCCAGTAAGAAAGCTTTACAAATGCCTTTGGGAGCATCTGTATTTCCACATCTCTGAACTCCCTATTTGTCTTCATCACAGTAGATAGCAAAAGTGGGCAAACTGAACTTGAGAAAGATCATCTCTATGTCCGCACTCCTTCCACAGGCAGTAAAGACACACCTATCATTCTCCCTTTGGAAACAATGAATTTTTGGCTTTAAAGCAACAGCCTTTTACCAACCCCTTCATCTTGTCCTTGTCCTCATTGCATTTGAGTTTAACAATCATGCTCAACAGAAAATCACATACATAGACAGTGATATAATGGCAACTGAGTGGGCACAGTAGAAGCAGACAGACAAAACTAGCTACTGTATAACCCTACTCTGCAGACCTCAGAACATACTCCTACTGCCACTCTACTGGATGATAGATACATACTGTAAGCAGGAGAAAATACACTTCCACACACAGTCCGAACGCTCATTTCAGCACTTTTTATTCATCTATGTCACTGTTAGGACTGGGTATCGAACTTCAATACTTTCATCGTATCAATCGAATTCAATACCACTGAGTATCGAAAAATGCATTTCTACATTCTTATTTATTGATGTTAAGGTTGTGGTAATTAGGTTTGCTTAACTGCTCTGAGTGCACAAAAATGCCATTTATAAGTAAAACTAATGATCTGTACCAAAATGTGCAATTTTGTCAAAACTATTTTTATAAATTGGTATCGAAAAAAGTATTGTTTAGGAACCGGCATTAAAGTCAAGGTATCGGTATCAAAAATTTTGGAAGGATACCCAGACCTAGTCACTGTTGAGTATGATGCAGAAGAGGTACATGTACACGTTCATCCT